TTCATGCTCCAAATAAAAACATACATATACGTCACTAGTAGTTTCACATAACATTAGAAACTTGATACAACCATTCATAAAGTTGAAGCAATTTTTAAAACAATTGTAATGTTATTCAAGAAGTGATATGTAAGATGACATTTGTGTCAGCTGCATAACACATATGAGCCAGGCTATTTATCCTTTCCATAGACACATTCTTTTCAAAAGCAGCCATGAGTGCAGATGCACCTGTCATCAGGTAGCATAGAGTCTCCTGTGGCCATCAGCCTGGAGATTACCTTTGCCCCTCTTCTGTGCTGTTTACCCGTTTCCCTCCTGTTTCCTGTATTTCTCTGGTTTGGGTTTCCACCCTCATTTTGTGGAGTACATCCTCCTGAAGCTTCCTAAGGAAGAGTGAGTGAAGATGTCTTGGCACAGGCTCACTAGCAAACAAAACCCAGGGTAACTCCCAATGGCTATTTATTTCAGAGACACAATCCCAGATGTGTTAGCAACTCATTTTATTGAGAAATAAGGCTGCTGTGAATTTTCTTGAATGAGTCTTATGTTTTCATTTCTCTTGGGTAACTATCCATGAGTGGAATTGCTGGGTCACATGGTAAAGGTATATATTAGTCCATTTCATACTTGTGTAAAGATACCACCTGAGACTGGGTAATTTACAAACAAAAGGGGTTTAATTGACACAGTTTCCCGTGGCTGGGGAGGCCTCAGGAAACTTACAATCATGGCAGAAGGGGAAATGGAAGTAGGCACCTTCCTCACAAGGCAGCAGGAGAGAGAGAGAGAGCACAGATAAAACTATCACTTTTAAAACCATCAGATCTCATGAGAACTCACTCACTATCATGAGTACAGCATAGGGGAAACTGCCCCCACGATCCAATCACCTACCACCAGGTCCTTCCCTTGACACATGGGCATTACAATTCAAGATGAGATTTGGATGAGGACACAGAGCCAAACCATATCAGAGTATGTTGAACGGTATTAGAAATTACCAAATGTTTTTCTAAAATAATTGTGCCATTTTACAATCCCAACAGCAAAGTTTGAAAACTCCAGTTGCTCCCTGGCCCCTTGTACGTCTGTGCTAGTATGTAAAGTACAGTTGAATGACCCTTGAACAGCACAGGTTTGAACTGCACATGTCTACTTATATGTGGATTTTTTTCAGTCAAATGAGGATCAAAATTACAATATTCACAGGATGCAAAATCCACGTATATGGAGGTCCAACTTCTCACATATGCAAGTTCCACATGGGCAACTATTGGACTTCATTACACACAGGTTTTGGTATATGTCGGGGGGATCCCACACCTAATCCTCTGCAGATACTAGGGGATAACTATATAATTGATTTGTGTATGTTGGTCTTGTATCCTGTGACCTTAAAAAATTGCTTATTATGGTTGTTTTTGTTTTTTTTTTTTTTGCTTTCTTAAGATTTTCTGTGTGAACAATCATGTTCTCTGCTAATAAGAACAGTGTTATATCTTCCTGTCTGATTTGCAAATACAAATTTTATGTCTTTCTCTTGACTTATTTCTCTGGCTAGGTTGAATAGCAGTGGAGAGAGTGGTGGGCATCCTTGTCTTTTTCCCAGTCTTAGAAGTAAAGCATTTAGTCTTTCACCAGTAGGTCTGATGTTAGCTATATGTTTGTGTACATTTTTTAAATCAAGTTATGGAGACCCCCTCTATTCCTAGTTTTATGGAATTTTAAATTATGTGTGAGTATTGAATTTTGTCAAATGCTTTTTCTGCATTTATGATATGATTATGTGATTTTTCTTCTGTATCCTATTAATATGATGAATTATATGGATTGATTTTCAAATATTGAGCCATCCTTGCATCCCTTGGTCATGGTATATAGTTCTTTGTATATGTTACTAGGTTCTATTTGTTTATACTTCCTTATGAATTTTGTATCATATTCATGAGAGGTATTTGTTGCTCTGCACTTTTCTCTTTTTGTACTTTCTTTGTTTGATTTTGGTATCAGGATACTGTTGGCTATTTTCTGGGGGAGATTCTAACCTTTTTGGGAACTGTTCTAGTTATTACATTATATACACATACCTTATCAAAGTCTATTGGTGTTGACATTTTATCACTATTGGTGAAGCATATGAACCTTACCTGCCTTTTTGCTCTTTTATTATCTACGATTTATAATAAAATTGTTTTAAATACTTATTCAACATATAGTGAAACATATAAACAGATAGGTAATGTCATTAATTTTTGCTTTAACCATCAGATATAATATAGAAAACTCAAGAGGAGAGGGAAAGTCTATTATATTTGCGCATATTTTTGTTCTTTCCATGTTCTTCCTTCTTTATATGCCAAAATACCTTCTTTTATCATTTCCTTTCTGCCTAGAGAACTTCCTTTAGCCATTTCTTTAGGGTAGGCTTGCTGGGAACAAAATCTCCTAGTTTTCCTTCATCTGAGAATGTATCAGTCTCCTCCTTATTACTGAAGAATATTTTTGCTGGCTTTATAATTCTGGGCTGACAGTTATTTTCTTTCAGTGCTTAAAAAATGTTATCCTGGCTGGGTGTGGTGGCTCATGCTTGTAATCCCAGCACTTTGGGAGGCCAAGGTAGGCAGATCACTTGAAGTCAGGAGTTCGAGACTAGCCTGGCCAACAGATTAAAACCCCATCGCTACTAAAAAAAAACCACCAAAAATTAGCAAAGTTTGGTGGTACACATGTGTGTCCCAGCTACTTGGGAGGCTGAGGCAGGAAAATTGTTGAACCAGAGAGGCAGAGGTTGCAGTGAGCTGAGATTGCACCATTGCACTCCAGCCTAGGTGACAGAGCAAGACTCTGTTTAAAAAAAAAAAAAGAAAAAAATGTTACTCTGCTTCCTTCTGGAAGCAGCTAATGAGAAATCCACTGTCTTCAGAATTGTTTTTCCCATATAAGTGAGGTGTTGTTTGTTTTTAAGGTTTCTTTCTTTGTCTTTAGTTTTTAGAAGTTTGACTATGATGTATTTTGGCATGAATTTCTATGGGTTTTTTTTTTCTGTTTAGGGTTTACTCAGCTTCTTGAATCTGTATGTTTGTTTGTTCATTTGCAGAAATTGGGAAATGTTTCGTGATTATTTCTTTGAATGCTTTTTTAGCTCTACCCTATTTCTCCTCTTCTACGGGACTCCAGACTTTTGTCACAATCCCTCATGTTCCTGAGTTGTGTTCTGTATATGTGGTTTTTTTTTAAGTCTGAGTTTTCTCTGTTGTTCAGATTGGGTAATTTCTATGTTCTACCTTTATATTACAATGATTCTTTTTCTCTTCTCTCCATTTTGCTTTTGAGCACATCCATTGAGTTTTTAAAATTAGAATTGTATTTTTTAGTTCCTGTTACATTTGCCCACATTTTTGTTCTTTATTTGGCTCTGTTTTGTATCTTCTATTGTTTTGGTAAGACTTTCTGTTTCTTTACTACATTTTCTATTTTTTTCATTTGTCTTAAGTATGCCTGTAATTGCTTGTTGAAGTATTCTTATGATGACTATTTTTAAATCCCAGTCAGATAACTATAACATCTGTCATCTCATTTTTCATATCTTTTCTTGTTCTGTTTGAAATCTTCCTGGTTCTTGGTATAAGTGATTTTTTTTAAAGGTCTTATATTTGGTATTAAATTATAGGACCTTGGGTCTTCCTTTAATCTTGTGTTTTAGCAGACCTGACACTACTCTGGTAGGTTCACGGGGGCGTTGCCTGATAACTGCCTGAGGGTCGTTGAAGTACAGATTCTCCCTGCGCCCCTGTTAATACCTGAGGAATGGGCTTGGTACTTCTTGGCAGGGGTACTTCCTAGCTGAGAGGAGACAGAGATTCTTATTACAGTCAAATGGGTGTGAACGTCTAGGCTCTCTTTATGCCCTCTGAAGATAGAGAGCAAGGTGCTTATTACCACCCAGTAGGGTTGAAGTCTTAGCTTTGAACTCAGCCTTCTCTAATACTCCCAGGCAGTGGAGCAGGCAGTGATGAGCACCTTGTTACAGCCTGGTGAGGGTGGGAATCTAGGCTTCTCAATAGACCTTTGCTGGCAGGGGTGGTAGTCAGGCTATAATTTTTTCTGTGGTGTTTGACCGGAATAGAAGGGGAATGTCTAAGCAGCTACTGTCTTGCTAAGCTGCCCCCTTCCTGATATTGTCTACAGAGAACATGCTTTTTCTTTTCTATCTTCTTTCCTCCCTTCCTCCCTTTCTCTCTCTCTCTCTTTCTCTCTCTCTCTCTATCTCTCTCTCTTTCGACCTGCTCTTGTTGGTGTTTCTAGGTTCCAGTTTCTCAAGTATCTAGTCTGGAATATATAAGGCAAAAAGAAACTCCAGGGAACCCACCATTATGTCATTCCTCAAGTCTCAAGATCCCCAGCTCGTCTGCCACTTCTTCTCCACTTTTCAGAGTCTTCTAATATTATTTAATACATAATTTCCAGGGTTTTCATTGTATTTAGTAAGAGGAATAGGAAAAAGTTTATCTGCTGTATCTTCCCTGAAGAGGTCTCTAAATGTAAATGTTCATGAAATTTAACATGACTACAGCTACGTAACTGTAATGGTTTTGATGAATCAAATGAAATATGAACTATACTTTCAAAGGTATATGTGGATCAAAAAAGCAAGATGGTGAAAGGAAAAAAATAGCTTTCAGGAGGGAAAACTGTGTTCAAGGAAATTACAAAGAAATTTTTTGTCTTATGTAAAATGTTTCCAGATTCAAGGAGAGAAGGTTCTGGCCTTGAGTTTCTTAATGCTCATGTTAATTGATGGGAAGATTTGGCCTTTTCTTGTCTTCAAAGGGAAAAGAAATCTATATTTCATTTGAGGAGAGAAGTAGCCATAATGTTCTCCCTTTCTACTGAAACCTGTAGAAAACCTGTTCCTGATGTTTGTGCCTCGTTAGCAAACACCCCCACTGGCCCCTGCCTTTTCTGGGATCCTGTTCTAAAGTGAGCTTCTGTTCCAGGTCGCCTGAACTGGTGGTCCACTGTGTGCACGAGCTGTAAACGGCTTCTTCCTCTGGCCACGACAGGGGATGGGAACTGCCTTTTACATGCCGCCTCACTGGGTAAGCTCCACAGCACAGACAGAGGGTGGCCAGGCTCCAGGACTGCACAAGGAGTTATTGAAGGAAAGACATATGCTAAATAGAGCCACCCATGTCACTGTCATCTGGGAAAGTCCCCAGGATATAGAGCCAACAATCCTGGCCCATCTTGTCAAGTAGCCTGCACTTGGTGGAGAGACAGGACACATAAGAAAAGACCTGGTGTGATAGAAGGAGGCCTTGAGCATAGCTGTAGGGATGAGACTTAAAGACTGTTGCCTGGTACAAATAAAGAGGACTTCCTGGAGGAGATGGGATCTTTACTGAGACTTGAAGAACTTGAGAGACTAGAAGAGGACATTGCCGGCAGGGAGACCCCGGAGACAAAGCATAAGGGCAGGAATGGACAGGGTGGTTGGAGGTAGGGGTGAGCAAGGCAAAGCTGGAGCAGGAATTTTGGGAAACAGTGCATGAGGATGGGTAAATGAGGGTCCACTATATTGACAGCAGTCAACAATTGGCGTGGACTAATGGAAAGAGACGTAGGTCTGCTCAGATAAATCACAGGGGAGTCAGCGTAGTCAGAATACACCACAGAGAGATCAGCAGCCCTGTCCAGCAGAGACTTGAGCTTCCCGATCACACAAAGCTACACAAGCACAGAAATATTTGGATAATTGAGGATCATCATCGACTTTCTGGAACCTCAGTTATCCCTTTAGGCCCAGCCTTATATGCATAAGACCGAATCCATTTTGACAGGTGAATCTGGGTTTGCGCTAGGGGCCATCAGGGCCAGTTGCTCCTTACCTGCCCTGGGGGAAAGCGCCTCTCCAAAACACATAACCCTCAGACAGGAATGTGGTACTTGTTGGTCAAACTCGCATCCCACAAAAAATGTGGCTTTAACTGGGTGCCGTGACCTAAAGCAAGGTCCAGCCCCCAGACCTCTCTCTTTGGACCTGCAGTGAGGCCCATTCCACAAGAGGTAGGTGAGATAAGACTCTAAGGGGCTTCAAGGGAAATACATCAGGGTCTGGGAAGGGTCCCAGAGGAGGATGGATACCAAGAGCAAGGGGAACATTCCACAGGCTTGACCTTCAGTGAGAGAAGGCAAGGCACCCACTCACCTGCTTTGTCTCCACGTCATCGGAGCACATTCTGCTTGTTGGCATTGCAAAAGTTCCCTACATTCATCACGGTGAGAAAGTGAAAATCAGTAATTCCACCACCCAGCAGTAGCCACTCTTAACAGTTAGGTATTGTCATCATCTTCCAGTCTTCTGTCTGTTCAAGTGAAATGATGATCTTGCTGCGCTCACTGTCTCGAATCCAACATTTTCCCTTAAAATTTGAGAATGTTCCATGGTGTTATCCTTCAAATACATGACTTTAAGTAGTTAGATCATATTTCATCATAATGGTTAATATTAACTGTTCTCCTATTATTGAGCATATTTTACCTTGTTCTTGGTAAAACCTGCAGAAATAATATAAAAAAATGAATCTCTCATCTGTGTCAAATAGCAGCCTCGTTCCAAAATCTTGGGCATGGAAATGCCTTTGTCGCTCAGTAGCTGCAGCGTGTGGAGTCATTGTCCCCATGAACACAACAGGGGGCAAGGCCACATCCCACAGCATTTTCCCCCTGTGAGCACAGTGGGCCTCCCAGGCCTGCCTGGGAAGGGAGAGCCTCCCTCGGGCTGTTCATTCCCACCTGCAAGAGAGCCTGGGCCATGAGCAACCAGGGCTGTGAGACCCCCCTCCAAGAATTCCTGGCACAACAGTGAGCCCAGAGCTCACAGCAGTCTGTCCTCTTATCCCAGCACTCGGTTTCATCTTGTGCCCAGTGGCTAAACTCCACAGGACTGGAGCTGCCCAAAGCTACCACGTGGCATTCACCAGCGGTGCTTGTGGAACCCCTGCTGGCCTGGCCTGACTCTGAGCTAGGATTGTGGGGCACATGGGGAAATGACAGTAATCTCGGAGTCAGGCCTGTAGGCAGACATGTACAGGACAAAGAGGCCCTCTCTGCAAGAGAGACCTGCGGAAGGAGCTGTGGGAGAGTCCCAGGAGGTCGCTGAAAGAGGCCTGAAGATGAGTGAGGAGCGACAATGGCCATTCCCCCTCGCCTGTCATCCTGCAGAAAAAGGCAGCTCCTTGCTGGCTAGAAGCCCATGGCAGACCTGGGCTGTTGCATATCCAAGGGTGCCCAGCCAGTTGAGCCTTTGAAAACATCAGTGTACGTTGCTTTTCTTTGAAAACATTTCAGAGGCCCCCAGCTCCTTTGAAAGCCCCCTTTTCACTCTCCGTGTCCCCTCCATCCTGCTCTAGCCACCTTTCTATCTTGCCTTTTCTCAAGTACTGACCCCTCCGGGTCTGTCCCTGGCCTTTCCCTGTGCCTGTGTGCCTGGGACAGCAACTCAGCTCCTTCCTCCACCCATTTAAGTCATGGCTCCTATGTTTCCATTCATGCCACAGCAAATCTGCCTGCCTCACATCTCCCTGTGGGGCTGCTACCCTCAGCATCATACACTCTGTGTCAACCTAATGGCCGCCCCACTCCCCGTTCCCCACAACATGTGCTCCATCAGATTTCAGGAACTTCACGTGTCCCGGCCACTGCCACGCATATTCCCAGCACCCAGAATGAGTGGATGGGGGGGTGGGTGGGGAGGTGGATGGATGGATGGATAGATGGATTCCCCAGTGCTTTCCCTTGTAGCCAGGGCTGCTCTTCTCTTCAGCGCTTCTCCCATGAGTTGGGTTTCTTGACCACATCTGAGCCTCCCAGAGCACATTCTCGGAGATGACTGCTTTGCCTCGACATCCTCGCAGCACCTGGCACAGGGCGAGACCCTCTCGCTGGGAAGCAGGCGCTCTCTCCTGGGCCAGGTGTGTGTAGTGTTGTCACTGACGCTCTGCTTCTCAGGAAGCTGAGATGCTTCAGAGCTGGAGAGGTGGGAAATGGCAGACCCTGGAGAAGCCAGGATGCTGATGGCTGCCCTCACCTGGAGCCCTCTGTGAGAACACTGGACAGCCTGTCCCTGTCCCATAGTCAGTCCCCCACCCAAATGCAAGACTTGGATAATGACCATTAGGCCGTCAAAGCAAACCAGCAACATTGAGAGTGGGTTGCCAAGGGTGCCAGAGAGGAAAAGCACTAGATTTTCGCCCACTATTATTTTGCCAAGAACAGGATGTGCTGCTTCATTCACCTGCTTGCCTTAATGGGAAGCCTCAGGAAGAAGGCTGGAGGGGAATTAACAGAACCACTGAGTAATGAGGCTCCTCTGTGCGTGCAGATGGGAGGCCATCCCAGGGGGTGGTGGCGGTTTGCGTCACTCTGGCTTGTCTTTTCCTCACATCCTTTCTCTCCTCTGTTGTCCGTGGCCTCCTGGCTCCAGGAATGTGGGGGTTTCATGACCGGGACCTGGTGTTACGGAAAGCTCTCTACACCATGATGAGGACGGGAGCTGAGAGGGAAGCCCTAAAGCGGAGGTGGAGGTGGCAGCAGACGCAGCAGAATAAGGAGGTTGGTATCCACTGGCATGGCCCCCAGGCCCAAGACTGTCTTATGAGGTGAGGCAGAAACAGCCCCTGGGATCAGGAGAGTCTCCTGCATTTAAGCCCATGGAGGAGGAGCCTGTTGAAATGGCACAGTCCTGACAGACAGCAACCATGTGTCCGCTTGTGCTTCCTTAAGGCATGATTATGAAAGCTGCCTACCTTCATTCCCAAAAGCATCCCGGCTTGGATGACGAATTATATATATGACCACCTGCTGTCAGGGGCAGCCTATGTCTCCAACCCCAGTGTGTGAGCTCAATCCAAAGGGATTCCCGATTGTCCCAACCATGGCAAACATGAGGACCTTGCTCTCCTAGAAGAATCTCCTGCTTCCTGACTACGGATGACATAGTATCCCTTTAAACTTTTTAATGGCCGGCCACAGCTAGATCCATAAATGGGTTAATGCTCGGTTACCCACAGCCCCTGAGAATGACCCTTGTTGGTGGGCAGACTCCCAACAGCTCTGGAATTAGAGCTTGGGGCTTCTGAAAATAGTGTGCACAGCAAAGGTGGGCAAGAGGGTGCAGTTGATATCTACCTGCAGATGTGCCTGGCCTGGGTCCTAGTGAGGCTGGTCCGGGTGGGGAGGGTGAGGAGAGGAGGGCAGCATGGCAGTGGCCCACCCTGCTCCTGAGCCGGCTCCCTCTGCCAGTCAGGGCTGGTGTACACGGAGGAGGAGTGGGAGCGGGAGTGGACGGAGCTGCTGAAGCTGGCCTCCAGCGAGCCGCGCACGCACTTCAGCAAGAACGGCGGCACGGGAGGGGGGTAAGTGCTGCCCCTGCTCTCCCCGGAGGTCACCTCCAGCTCCAGGCCACTCAGGGCTGCACACAGCATGTGGGGATGGCACGGGGGGACCGCGGGACCCTCGTGCTGTGGAAGACAGAAAGACTCCAGCTTTCTAGCATTAGCTTTGAGACAGGGATGCATGGGAGGGCTGTGGGTGATGGCTGGACCCTGCCAGATGCTGGGGGAAGGGTATGCAGCCCCCACATGCACTAAACAGGCAGAGGTAAACTCACAGGAGCCGTCTTCAGGCCACTTTCCTTGAACTTTGTTGTGCAGAGCAGGTGGGATGCACGCCCTCAGGCCACAGCTGGTCTCTGGAGGTCACATGTGATGGTAAGTGTTCCCACGCATTGCCATTACATGGACCTGGCTCTGAAGTTTGGGTTTTCCCCCCGACTAATTAATTGGTGGCTTCAAGAAGTCACCCTGAGAGCAGAAGCTCATTAAGCTAGCCTGGTGTTTTCCAGATGGGCTCCGTGGATATCATATGTGTTCCCAGCAAAAAGGCTTCACAACTGTGCATATTTCGGAATATCTTGTTCCTGCAGAAACACCTTGGGTGTTCTAATATGGAATGAAGAGTGTGGCCAGACCAGCAGGGCAGCCATAGAGCCTTGGCCAAGGCATATTTTTTGGTTCACTTTCTCTGGAACCTGAATGCAAAGGTGTTGCTCCTAGAAAAGGTCTCAGCCAAACATGAAAAAGTGTGAGCAGTGACACCAGGGAGACCCATGGAAGGACCAGAGCATGCAGCTCCAGGCTGCCCTTAGGCTCATGGGCCCTGCAGCGGGCACCCAGGTCCTCACCCACCCACCAAGGCAGGACCTAGTACCTGCTGGGCCAGCTCTCCCTAGAGCCCTGGCTGGAAAGAGACTCCCACAGAGCCTGCAGCAACAGCGGTGGCATCCAAGACCATGTTTAAAGACGAGATGGTTAGAAGCCACATGCCCGGGCACACCCTTCCTCCAGGGCTGTCTTGTCACTGTGTTTTAAGGCTGTGGTGTGTCCATACCAACGGTCTATCTTGGCAGGACATTTGAGGACAAGCGTTCTGAAGACTCAGACAACTGTGGAAAACTACTCTCTTCCTCTGCACACCTCCCGAGTCCTGCCTGTGTTGAGTCTGAAGCGTTCCTTGACATCATTTTCACTGTTGCCTCTATCCCTCCTGCCATAGGGCAGATGCCTGATAGGTGCTGGCAGACTGGATCCAGTCCAGGTGTCTCTGCCAGGGATGGGGAGGAGTGGGGAAAGACAGCAACAGTGATGACAGTAATCACAGGTGATCATCACACACACACCCCCTGAATGCCCCCCACCAGGAGAATCTTCGCCCACAGTCCCATGGCTGGTCAGCCCATCTGACTCCCAAGGCCGCAGGCTGGTCCCCTGCTGCCTGCTCCCTGGGGCCCGAGGGATTCCGATGCTAATGGGGACATGGGAGCCACGTGGTGTCTGTCCCTATCTCCCACAGAGTCTGAGTGATCAACCATCATCTAACAAAAGGATTAGTTCCCTTTAGGAATCTCCATAATGGCCCAGACATTGTCCCATTTATGTAGGCTAGGCTGGTCCCCTGCCCCTGGAAACTGTAGTTCTGGCTGCCACATCACTAAAAAGAAGGAAGAATGGGCAGAGAGGGGAAACTAAACAACCAGGGGTGGATGCGAGTGACCCCATCAGGGAAGAATGGAGAGGTGAGGCCGGAGGTATGGATGGTGTCGGGCGGATGGCAGGAGGGAGGTGAGCACAGGCGGGTGGGATGGGGTGGGGTTGCAGAGACAGCGGCACCATAAGAGGGCCCTGTGCTGGGCACTGTACCCCCGCCTTTCCAACCCTACCTCATAAGCCCCCAGTCCCCGTCCACAGATTGGAAAACTGAGCTTCAATGGGATTAGATAACTGTTCTAAGACCACAGAAATGATAAATGGAGGGGCCAAAAGGTGAAAATTTGGTCTGATCATTAAGTCTTCTCTTTTGACCAGGCCCTGCAGCCTCACGGAATCCCTCAAATGCAACAGTTTGTAAAACATCAGGTGACAGGTCAGCCTGAAAATGAAACCACCACTCTGGGCTGGGTGATGGGAGTGAGGACACAGCCACCTGGTCCCCACAGATGCCACTGGTGCTCAGGTCGGAATCCTGTGCCAGTGATGTGGGAGGCACTTCTAGCGTTTCAGCAACTGTTGTTTCCAGTGCAGGAAAAAAAAAAAAAAAAAAAAACTCAGAAGAGGACAGAGCACATGCAATAGTAATACATCACAAAGAGTTGCTTCTGTAGCCAGATGCATCCTTGAGTTAGCTGGAACCTTTGCATGGCCAGTCAAGGAGGAAGGCCTATGGAACCAGGCATAAAACACACATTTTCCTGGGCATGGGGAGTATTGGTTGAGTCCCAAGGACTGAGGTAGCAGGCAGAGAATGTCTCAGCAAGGCATCCATGCAGCTATGCAGGACTCGCCAACAGGGCTCTCTAGAGCTGTCACCAGCTCCAAGAATTCACTTGGGGTTCAGAGTCCACAAAAGAGGCCTTTGTGCAAGCACAGTGTGCTCCGCCTTTTGCCCCTGTCTTCCCTCTCCATGTTGAGCTGAGAGGTGTGGGACAGCATCTCTGGGGCTTGAGGGCTGCAGGGATGAGTTTCTGATGCCTGCTTGAAGGGCCTGAAGGCAGAAGCTGGCAAGCGTGGGGATCACGGGGGCATGGCGGGCTGTGCAGGCCAGGACAGATGGCCATAGGGGCTGTGAGGCCAGGATCCTGCATGCTGCCCAAGGGCCAGGAATGGATTCAGGGAGGAGGCCCCAGTAGGCTGGCTTCAGGACTCACCTACAGTGGGAACCACACAGAAAGCCAGCCCCGGAGGCCAGGGCTGAGGGTAGACACAAGCAGTCAGTGAGAGAAGCCACCACTGCAGCCCAGGGACCTGAGGACACAGCCCCTCAACTGGCAGAGAGCTCTGAAGACCTACAAAAGCACTTCCTCAGACAGCAGGCCAGCACTGGGACCTCCAGTGAGCCCAGCGGGTCCTGAAGGAAAACAGGCAAGAAAGACTTGGCTACCCTCCTGTCCCTCTTTGCCTGTGCTAGTGCCACAAGGGACACAGACGGCAGCCACGGAAGAGGAGGAAGCAAAGGGTGAAACAGAGAAGCCAGATGGCAGCTAACCCAGTCTACAGGAGGCTCAAGCTCGGGGCTGATAGCCCTCTGCACAGAAAAGTGACCAGAAGAACCACACAGAATTTCCAGAGTATCACCCAGGAATAGGAAAGAGCAAGTCAAGGGAGAGTTTGCAGGCACAATGGCAAGAGGAACTATGATGGCCTTCTTCATCCCAGCCTGGCTTTCCCAGAACCTGTTCCCCCCAGAGGAGAGGAAAGGGGCGTAGTGCGGTCACTGTGTTCTGCTCTAAAAGCCCCTGGTATGGAGACAGATGGGGCAGCCCCTGTTCTATTGGTCCCTGACACAGACGATGACCTGGAGTCATTTTAAACCTGTTACTTTCCCAGAAAGTGACTAAGTCACAAAGGGGTCAGAAGGGACCAGAGGCCAGGCTTGGGCATTAGCTAAGACCTGCTTTCTCTCTGCCTCCCAGCAGGACTCACATTGGCCAGGCCCCAGCCATGTGGAAAGAACCAGGCCTTCCCTAGGGCTTGGGGAAGAGTTAGTGAGGTCAGATGGGAATTTGAACAGTGTCATCTACTGAGCCCATGTTATGTGTCAGGCAGGTCTATGAAGCTGTCATTATCATCAATCACAGATAAGGAGGCTGAGAGGTAATTAGATAATGCATTAGTCAGGGTTCTGCAGAGAAACAGAACCAATAAAAGACATATATTAAGAGATTTACGGTAGGTATTGGCTCACATGATAATGGTGTCTGAGAATTCCCATGATCTGCCATGTGCCAGCTGGAGACACAGGAAAGCCAGTGGTGTAGTACAAAGGCCCAACAGCTGGAGAACTGATGGTGTGGATCCAGTCTGAATCTGAAGGCCTAAGAACCACAAGTGCTAAAGGCAGAAAGTCCATGTCCCAGCTCAAACAGTCAGGTTCAGTTATTCCGTCTTCCTCCACTCTTCTGTTCCCATCCCTGCATAGATGGGATGAGGCCCACCCACATTGGTGAAGGCTCTCTGCTTTCTGCTCTCCAGAAATTCAAATGCTAATCTCATCCAAAATGCCCTCACAGACACATGCAGAAATAACATTTAACCAGCTATCTGGGCACCCGTTAGTCCAATCAAGTTGGCACATACTATTAACCATCACAGGTTAGCTCCCAATGTCCCTCAGCCTGAAAGATACAAAGCCAGAATCTGAACTTAGAACTGACCAAAAAACATAACCCCACACTCTTGACAAATGCAGACCAGGCATGAGGAGTAGGAATCAACAACTTATCTTGATTTATGTTGAAAATCATTTTTGTTCTTTAAACTTTTAAAAGAACCATTTATTTGTTTTCTGTTTGATGAGATGGGTTAAGTGGAAGCTGAGAGGCCAGTCAAACGGACAAAGAGGAAAAGAAAGCAGAGGAAGGGGGGCTGTTTGGGGGACCCCTTGGCAGCCCCCAGGGCATCATCTGTCTAGGTCCTTACTTTTCCCACATGCTAATCTCTCTGCTTTCTCTTTGTAGTTTAGTATCTGAAATTTCACTGACAATGTGTTTGCTGCATTTCTTTTTATTAAACTTTTTCAGAAGTAGCTAGAATCCCAAGCAATTTCCTAACACACAGTCTGAGAGTTGTCAATTTCAGCCAATCTTTGAGGGAAAGCAAGAGGCATTTTATTCTTGGGAGGTGCCCACATCACAACCTGGTGGTCCTGGGCCATGGGTTGGCCTTATGCAGGAAAGGAGGCATACTTATGTATATTCCTGAAGGTGCCATGATTTCCGTCAGCAGACTAAGCAGAAAGAGCATCTGCTAACGTAAGGTGTCCTCACTTTGCAGATGTGGGACCCAGCTCAAATTTTTAAAGA